TTTTTGTTTACTGATTTAAAGAACCACAACTGACTGTCCCCAAAAATTCTGTTTAGTTAAAAAAAGATGCGATCATTATTAAGTGATTGTACTATGGATCGCACGTTTAATCACATCAGATATTGCTTTGTGCGGTATCTATACGCAGGCTGAATTTGTTCTGAACCTCATCAGCTTTTTCTAGCAGTCACAGTTATTTATTTCTTATTCCCTGGTTTGTTCAAATAATATTATAAAAGGACTTTCTAGGGAACATTTGTCTCTATTTGACATGGAAACGATTGAACTTATCATAGAGGCAGAGTTGGCAACTGCCTGCGGCCCCTATCAGCATGTGGCCCTACCAGTGAGGGGCCACGCTGGTGGCCCTCCACACTAAGAACACCTCTGGGATGAATTCAGTGCAAGAACAATTCAGAGTGCTTTACATGAATTATAATATAAAATAGATGGAAAATAAAAGCAGTAAAAATAAAGATAAAACATGATTAAAGCAGGTAGTGAAACCAATCAAGCAATCACAACCTTAAAATCATGATTCTAAACTTATGGCTTTTAAACGCAGACTTCAAAGAACTCAGGCTTTCAGCTCTTTTCCAGAATCAAAGCAACGACAAAAGTAGAAAAAAACAGACCATCAACTTCTGCTCCCATTTTCTCTTCCTCTGGTGTGGATTTTCATCAGTTAAACATCCAGAGGTGCAGAATGCCGCTGAATCAAGCAGGAGAGACTCACAGAGAGACAACGGTCAGACAGAGCTGAGAAAATAACCTCCATGATTGAGATCTCACACAATAAGACTTCTAGATGTCCTTTAAAAACATGCACTATATATCTATAGATATATAAAACCAATCAGATATGTTCATGTTGCGCTCCTCCAAAACCTGGTAATGAGTGAGAAGAAGAGACAGAAAGTGGCACGGTAAAGGAGCAGCTAAGAGAAAAAGACTGACAAAGACTGACTGGTGGTTGGTCAGTCTTTGGCACAAAGGTGTCAGCCATGAAACATTACCTGGAATGATTCCTTCAAGGTGGGATGATCTGAGAAACAAGGTTTTCCAGGCAGCATGGAGCTGATCGCTGGCTGATCTCAGATTATAGAGAAAAATCACTGAAGCAGCTTCAGGCAGAGAGGACTTCATTTTTTTTTTTTTTACTGCACTAGTGGCTCATTTTTTCAACAGTAGGCTGACAGGAAAGAGGGTGAGAGAGACGGGGAGAGACATGCGGCAAAGGACTACAGGTCGGATTCCATACATGGGTCGAGTGCACTAACCTCTGCGCCACCTGCACGCCCAGAGTCATTCATTCTTGATTATCTTTTTTTTGTGTCTGTCCCATTTAGCCAATCTAGCTCTAGGAATAGATGTCCCACAGCTAGATGCTAGCTGATAGCCCAATAGCTTTGCTTTCACAGGCGGACCAGCACAGCTGCTGCCATAAGGTTCATATTGGAACTTATATATTAAACTGCATCGAACTTTATTTAGGGAGTAAAATTATAGAGACGGAGGGGGGGGGGGGGGGGGGGGGGACTAAGGGGGAAGAGAGAGACAAGATAGAGTGACAAAACATCCAAAATAGACACAGAAGATCTAGAGTAACTCCTAGCTTCCACATCTGGATGAGACGACAGGAACAGAAAACAGAGAACAGCAAAAAGAAGACAACAGAGAACCAGAGTAAAGATCAGAAAGCTTCCAGAGCAGCAGGTATCCCTCAGATATCCACGTGTGTGGAAGGAAAACCTGTGGTGATTCCACAATATTAATCAGGGTGGGATAGATCTGTAGCATCAGATTAGCAGTTATTATCATTATCAATCTGTGAACACCTGGAACAAAATGCATGAGCATGCTGGTACCAAAAGCTTCTTCAGAGGGAAAGTATTATTAATAGGAGGTGTGGGCGGCCCCAGACTCGCCCTACAGGGCCCTGGACCAATAAAGAGGTGATCCTGGCCCCAGATATTGATTGATTGATTGATTGATTGATTGATTGACTCTATTGATCTCAGAGTGGAGAAATTTACTCGTTACATCAGCTATAACAGTGAAAAAGAGAAGAAGAAGGGGCCAAAGGAAGAAGAAGGTGCATGGGGGGGGGGGGGGTATATACAGTGTATTCAGTTCGTTCACATATGACAGCTGACGTCTCTTATTTAGCTGGATTATTATACAGGGTCATTGCAAAGGGTATTAATATATCCAGAGGGGCCCCAGATCACTGGGATACTAGGCGGGCAGACATAAGGCTGGCTGGACCCACAGGAGAAGGGCAGACGAGAAAACCCGGGGGCCTGAACCCCAAGGGGGCAATTTCCAAAGGGGCCCAACCCTGGAGGCCATACAGCCGGGGTCCCAGGGGGCCGCAGCAGCGAGGTTCATGCCTAAGGTGGACCTAGATGAGAGCCCCAAGGTCCGGGAGCGCGCCACCCCCCCAGTGGAAACCCCACAGGGCCAGGAGACCCAGGCCCGTGCCAGCAGCCGCTAGTAATGAGACAGCGCCCTCTGAAGTACCTAACCCCGCACCTAGAGCCCGTCAGCGCGCCAGCAGACACCTGACGCTGGCGGGGAGCCAATCGTTGATTAAGTTTAAACACCTGTGGCAGAATTCACTGGAAAGAACCGTTTCTCAGGAACCGCAGTGATTAGGAGCTATTATATAAAACAAGAAAAGTCTGGGAGAGCAGCTCAGCTCTAATTAGCATACTTAGATTTAGATTCCTTATCTCTCATTAATTATTTTTTATCTTTAACAAACTGACTGCAGCTTGCAGCCTCAACCATTTTATTCCAACATTAAACATTATTTTAATATTTTAATCAGTGAATATATCTGAAATACTACACATAAAGATGGTGTTTCAGTAGAACGGTGCTGCTTCCTTACTTGGCAAAGATCTCCTTTCTAACATGAGCAGCCTGGTGGGTCGCTCTGTCCAAACTGAACCCCGTTTAGCTCAAAGATCCACAGAGATCGCAGCTCCTGCTTATGAACCTTTTCTCCTAGTGTGACAGATCACACTATGCTTCAGCATCTAATAAAGTAGATCTATTATTAATTCAATTCAATTCAGTTTATTTATATAGCGCCAAATTCACAACACATGTCATCTCAAGGCACTTTACAGTTCAACCAGATCATACAGTC